TACCATTGGCAAAGTCTGCTTTCTTCCTGCGTTTCAGATCAGTGCATTTAAACATCCTTTGCGAAACCTTTTGCAGAAAAGTCCTTCCGTCTTTCTTCAAGACACATATGTATATATATGTCTCAAAATGTAAATGTAGCTTTTTAAGAGTCTATGATATTTCAGAACTTAACACTGAACATTTGGAAGTATCTTACTGATTTACAGCCATTTCCCTCTTTTAGTCAATGCCAACTGTAGGCGAGTTGAGAAGAAAAATAATACAGGAGTACTACATAATATAATAAAAGCAGAACTGAACAATATATGTGGAGTCCATGAGAAAGAGAACAGCACCATCCACTGGAGGTTTTCTACTTGTGGCCCCCTGGGGATGTTCAAGGACTTCAAAAGGAATTAGGAAAACAGCAACTAAGCTTAAGAACTGCATTAGCAAGTTGTGTGGTACAACTGGAGCAAAGTCCTGCAGAGCCGAATAGTTGGCTCTGATGATCTTGCGTCTGTCTTAGACACATTCCTTTTTTTGGTAGGGAAACAGGGTTTTTTGTTGTAAACTAGCTCTTGCCTGGACTCATGGGCCATTAGATGACAAATACCATCAGATATGCTCCTTTTGGTTTTAGACTCATTGGAAAGGAAAAGAGTTCTTCTACTCCACAACTGGGGAATTTGTATCATAAATATTCTCCAGGATCCAAACCAAACATAGTATAATGCACTTGAAAATGCCTGTTGTCTTAACATATTTTAATAATTCATTACTTAAAGGTTGAAACATAGCTGTTGTATTTTAATTTTGTCAGGACAAGGTGAAAGAAAAGAAGTAAATACTGGTTGAAAGAATCCAGTCATCTTAAGGCTGAAAACTTGTCACACAGTGTTTTTTAATTATGGCTCACTCCAATATTTGTAAACGAAGGCTCCATGGGAAAGGAGGGAACACTATGCACAGGAGTCAGAGCTTTACCTACTCTATCCTTCCCTATAAAGCAATCCAACACCTGGGGAAGGATCTCACCTCCACATAACCAAATTCCTTGCAATACAGGCAACTAAACCCCACCAAGACAGGAACAGTTTGCCTAAAACTAGCAAGGTTACAACTACAAAGCAGCTTCAGAAAACCTGTTGCAGTGAGGTTACATATTACCTGTGTAATAATTAATAATTACTACATATTACCTGTGTAGTACATATTACTACCATGTATGTCACCTAGACATTACATTTACTCTCCAAACTTGAGAATGGCAAGAAGCAGCATTTCAGTTACACAGCTGAGAGGCACAAAGCTGCCTGATGATGCTGGCCAGCACACAAGGCCCATAGAAGGACTGGAAACTGGACCTAGATCATACCAACACTTAGCAACAAATGCTTCAACCACAAGACGAGTTATGCTTCCTTCTCAGAAGCAAAACTCAGTTATTGCCTTAGGATCCACTCCACTTAAAGTTGTGCTTTTAAAGACAGATGTAAGCCAGCCATTCCTTGATTTAATTAAATGGATTCCCTTCCCCATTCCCTGTTTCAACATTCCTATTATAGCTGGTGCTCCTGGCTACTTACAGGGCTGGAATCAGACTGGAAGTGAGGAGAAACTAAATCCAGAGGAAAGAAGTCAAAATAGTTTATGGACTTGCTGCCCTTAGAGCTGAGGCCACTCAAGTGATGGTGAGAACAGTCAATCTGCACAATGGAAAAAAAGTAACCAACAATTCAAGCTAACTTCCCATTTCATACTGAAACAGAACAGAGGCATTCAAAAGACTGGTTATGTTTAGTTGCCTAGGTGAATAGCAAGCTAAAGCACAAGCAACTACCTAAAACACGGTAACTAAACCTGAAAGATTAGTAACTGCTTTCTGCAAGAAATGGCATCAATATTGTAATAGAAAGAGCATTTAAGTCTTATCATAGAATGATAGAATACCCTGAGTTGGAAGGGACCCAGGAGGATCAAGTCCAACTCCTGACGCCACACATGGCAGCTTAAAAATTAAACCAGATACCTCAGAGTGTTGTCCAAACACTTCTTCAACCCCTACAGGCTTAGGGCCACAACCACCTGCTTGCAAAGCTTGTTCTAGTGCTTGACCACCACTCTTGGCAAAGAATATTTTCCTACTATCCAATCTGAACTTCCCTATTGCAGCTTTAAGTCAATACTTCGTGTCCTGTCACTGGGGACACCAGAGAGACAAGATCACCACGTCCCTTTTTGCTCCCCTCATGAGGAAGTTGTCAGCAACTATGAGGTTACCCCTCAGTACCCTCTTCTCCAAGCTTAAACCTAGTATCCTCAGCTGCTCCTCGTAAGTCATTCCGTATGACTTAAGTCCATCTTATCGGCAGGAATAAACACCTATGCCACCAAAGAGATCAGAGCTAAAGAAATTTTCTTTCATCCTCTACTGCCACATTCCCCAAATCACATAGGGGTGACAGAAAACTCTGAGAAGTCCAGTGAAAATCTTATTGAAGAAAATAGACACTTCTTACATATTTATTCTTCAGGCTCACAGAGGCATATGGCATGTCCAAAGGACCATACTACATGACCTCCCACATACGTATTACAAATTGTGTTAGCAACACAAGAAATTTATGTCTGCTTCATATCCATCTTTTTCATAATGGTTTTCATGAATGCTAACATGGTATACACTGATTTTTGTGGTTTACAAAAAGAAAAAAATACACCTGTAAATATTTAAGATCAAATTATTTTAAATTATTTTTAGAAGTATAAAGTATGAAAGGATTTTTTTAAATTATAAATATACAGTATTCTGAAAGAGAATGGTGGATAGAAGCTGTGCAAAGAATTAGTTTCTTTTTCTCAGGAAGAAGTTACCAGTCTCATTAAAGATAGTATCACATCTAAAAAAGGAGTTGCTCTCAGGTGCTGGTAGATTGTGACAGTCCCTTTTTTCTTTTCCAAGAAGGTAAGATGGAATCAAGGAAAATTCTCAACCCTTAATAAAAAAAGGGAATCTATTATCTATGTGTTTTGGATCCAAAAATTCTTGCAATTCATACAAATAAATGTTCTACTGTCTTTCCTCTCTTTTTCTGATTCTCAGAGTCATTTAAAGTTAGCTACAATTATGTGGATCTTCCTCCATACACCCCACCAAATTACATAACAAACCTGTCAATACTTACATTGCTCTTAACTACACTTAATAGTCAATGTAATTTACTGGGTCTACTAGCTGCATGTATGGGAAAAAAGGTCAAGCCATTAGAGACTAATCTACACACAGTACAAGAAGCAGTTTAACTATATGAGTTATATTTAGAAACTGATTTAGTTAATCATAGTGCAGGCAACCAAGATTTAAACCTCATCTTCAAACAGATCTCTATGCATAACTGCGTAATTCAGAACGGAAGTTATTATGCCAGCCAGAAAAAGTTCAGAGAAGAGGCCAGTGATGAATTTATTTGCAGTATTGAAGTAGCACTGAATTTCCCACAGCCTCAGACAGTGATAATGAAGATTATTTCTGAATGCGTTCATATCACTATCTTGAAAACATGCTAAAGCTCTCACAGCACAGATGCCAGTTCTACCAAATTACTCCTCCTTGTGTATTAACATCAAACCCATTTTGCTAGGCTGCAATTTAAAAATGTAAAGTCCTTCAACTCCATGCAGTCAAGTCCAAAACATAACCCAGTTACGTTAAACATGTTATATTTATCAATCAATGGCTTGATTTAAAATGAAAACGCCTTACTGTGCATGCAAACCTTAAACACCAGACTATTAAACACAAGATACATTTCAATTAAACTCCACATGAAAGTTGTGCTTAACCTGCATAAAGAAGCAGGTTAAAACCCCTTAGTTTTTCCTAACAAAGTGCAATCTCTTTCAGAACATACATGTTGCTAAGTATCTTCAAGATCATCAAGCATATAATCAGAAGTCAAAATTAAAATAAGCAGACGTGAATTTCATCTGAAAGAACAAAGTGTGCCAAAGGATCATAGGGTTATAGCCGGAGTCAGCCCCAGGACATCAGGAACGTTAACAGTATCCTAAAGCACTGCTGCATACTTTGCTTTTTTCAGAGACCTTGAAGCAAGGCTGGCTGCACTTTCTGCTGAAGGCAGCACTGTGGTGTGCAATGCAGGAAGAAAGCAGGCTCTCCTGTAAGTAGCTAATACTACTTTTAACCTCATCTTCTCAGAAGGAAGACCAACAAACCTTCTCTCCAGCTTCTTCCCTTGCTCAAAAGGTTTCTCTTTCCCACTGCAGACAAGCTACAGCCCCCTAAAAAAAAAAAAAAGGTATAATAATCAGCTTCACATATTCTAACAAAATTGTCTGCACTTCAACAGTAGTCCTTCATTAGCACTGCCCAGTGTGGCCCACATCTTATGTCACACAGGAAAGGAAGTGCTACACAGCTGCTTTCAGACTCTTCCACCAACACAACAGATATTCCTCATCTAAATGCCTGTGGCGTGCGTATCACAGCTGAGACTGATTGGGGGTGGGGGACTTTTCCCCCCAAACCTAGTTTAACATCAATAAATTTATGTCTTCTATTATCCGGTGCACTTTAAGGCAAACAGTCCAACATTTAACCTCAGCAGATTTAGTTTAAATCTAAGATGACACATCAGCAAAGTACAGATTATATGGGTAAAAGTAATTAACAGATACAAATTCCAGCATCTATGAACAACCACGAATAAAGTAAATTTACTTCTGTTTGCTACACAATCAGATTAGTGTATAACAGATTCTACTCTCCTAGGCTAGTGGTGCTTTTGACATTTGGTTCAGGGCCTAACAGCATAGCTTCATCACCACAAAAATATAAACCTCCTTCTCAATGCTAACTCAAAACCTTCTGGACCATTCCCATCATTGGTCTTCAGCTCAAAAACTTACCACTATTTTCAAGGCTACTCAATAGATGCACACAAATGCAAAGTAAGTGACAAGGTTATGTTCAGTAAGTGCTCCTTGAACAACTTACCATTTAAAAAAGGGAGTAGGGAATATCCTCTGTTTACACCTTTGAGAAGACAGCTGTTCTGTAACTTGCTAGCACATTCAGGTGGCTTCCTCTGCAAACAAAGACAAATTTCAACTTCACTTTTCAATACTACAAAAAAGATACGCATTAAAGAATCAAGTGACCAGTCAAAAAAACCATACTAAAATATGCATGAGTAGAATCTAGACATACTTTTAAAGTTTTGAGCTAAAGTATTATTTCACGTTACAGCTCATTTTTTCAAGGTAAGAAAATAGCTTATGTTATTTTATCATCAATTCCCTTATTTTTTTAACTGGAAGTAACTGCAGAGAAGGTAACAATAACCCACTTAGAGACTGTGGTGATGGAAAAATGTGAGATAATGGCCTTTGGAAAGCATAATAAAACATCAGGTTTGAGTCCCTCTGAGATAATCCATGGTAAACTCCAAGTATTACTACATGTAAACACACTAAAATAAAACATACAGAAAAAAAAAAAAGCAATGAGATGATCTTGCAAACCCTGAGATGTTTCTGTGAAAATATTACAGATGCCAGCAGTGAGAGATTATAGATGAACATTTAGTCTAAATTTTTATAAATTAAGTTTTGTGGTTGAGACACAGCTGCCCTTTCTGGAAGGACTATACAAAGAAAACTTCTAAACTAGATCATTTGATCATAAGAGACTAATATTACAGTCATTTTAAAATGCTACGCCTATACATTCCTTGATGGAACTTCATTAGACATTTTAAACAAAAACTTACAAGAGAAATAACAAAAACTTCTCTATTTCAAGGACATGTTTATAAAACAGGATTTATAGGAAAGTCAAAGCATCTAGAAGAGCAAGACACCGAAAGTCACCACACAGATTTTTCTAAAACAAAACACAGACAACACCTCTTTTTCACCATCACCACTCTAACTTTCCTTCATCCTCCCTCAAAATACCTGAGCTTTAACATTTGAGCTTTAACCTCTTTTTTTCAAGGTCCTACACACACCTGGGTCAGGACAATCCCAGGCACAGCTACAGGTTGGGCAGAGAAGAGATTCAGAGCAGCCTTGTGGAGAAGGACTTGGGGGTGTTGGCTGATGAGAAAATGAACATGAGCCGGCTTCAGTGTGCACTTGCAGCCCAGAAAGCCAACCATATCCTGGGCTGCATCAAAAGGAGCGTGACCAGCAGGTAGAAGGAGGCGATCCTGCTCCTCTGCTCTGCTCTCATGAGACTCTACTTGGAGTACTGTGTGCAGCTCTGGTGTACTCAAACCAAATGCAGCTTCACTAACCTGACTTAAAATTATGCCAGACAGGATCCTATGAACCTAAGTGACATGGTTTATTGGTGGACTTGGCAGTCCTTTGGTAAAGGGAGGACTTGATGCTCTTAAAGGTCTTGTCCAACCTAGCCGATCCTACAAACCTAAGTGATTTGAACCAACAGTGATTTATTCAAGTATACCTGTGGTTCAACAGTAAACCTGCTTTAGAGCAACTCACACTAGATTTAAAAACACTACAAATGTCATACAGCACTAGCATACTCATACTACCAAGTGACTGGAACTCCATATACAACTCAAACCCTCTATTACTATCGAGGTGGATGAGGATATAGTTACACAAAGGCACCTTATGAGGTTCTCAGTTTTCCACATTAGCTACTCATTCCTCTCCATGCACTGCAGTTCACTGCTTCCATCATTTACATCAGCCCAACACCTGCAGTGCTGCACTACACAAACGGAATCACTGAATCCATCCTGTACTGAAACAAGTCTCCACTCACATCACCAGTATGACACACCTATACAGGGACAGGCAGGAAGCCAAGAACTACTACATGAACCGTAAGAATGAAACTTACGAACAGCTTTTACAATGAAATGATATCAACTCTCCTGACATATATTCCAGGGGTTACTATAAAGCCTTACATGGTGAAATAAAGACATTAAAACATGGCCAATGTGAAGCAGCTTGTTTGTTTTTTTTTTAAATGAGGTTCTTCTGATTTCTAAGTAAAAAATTAAAAAAGACCCAGAGAAGAAGCCAGAGAAGAAGGGCTGGACTCTCTCACTACAAGCTCTACATTTAATATACATAGTTATGATGAAAAACAATTATTTTCAATGCATGCAACAGACACCAAAAAGAACATATATTTGAGTACATTAACAGTCCAGCAATATCTACCTAATAGCATAAGTGATTATACACACTCCCTTTTCAATGGATTCTTTCTTTCCCATAAAATCTTCAAGACGAAATCCTAGCAAAAGCCATTATGAAAAGATTCTTACTCATCACCAAGTACATCACTGACGACTCTGCCCAGCACCCCATTTGACTCATTCACTGACCGAATTACAGAAAATACCAAATAGTTTCAACAGGGTAAGATTTGAGACATGCAGAATGTGTAACACTGACTTCTGGTTAGTAAAATACATCCAGCTGAATTTTGTTTAAAACTGATGTTTTAAAGCTTTCTAAACAGGACTCCTATAACTGAGGAGCTAGTATGCAAGCAATTTGAAGAACAAACTATATGGCACACAGAGGATTACTTCAGGAATCCACAGGGGACAAAAAGAAGGATTTCATGCAAGATAACTTTTATACTGATTGAGGATTAAAAGTATCCAAATGGTAGGTCATCATCAAAATGGTGAAAAAGGTTTTATTTTATTTTAAAAAGTCTGCTTTCTGGAGAAGGGGGGGGGGGGGATTTTTCAACCGTTGTTTCATATATGAAGATCCAAAGCTTACTACTGTAGTTTGAATTACTAAGTAACTGTTTTATCAATGCATACACACAAAAAAGGAAGTGGTTTAAATCTTCATTACTGACCTGCCTTGTCAACTTCCTCTGTATATACAATCTTAGACGCATGAAACTACAGTCTTGGAAAGTCCTGTAACTGCAACAGACATCTGGAAAACCCAGGCAGTTTCTGGAGTGTTCAAAGAGCAGAACCACACACCAGTTACTGGTTAGGTCCCCCTTGGTCTTAAGTATTTCTACAGTGTGGAAGGGTATTGCTCCTGTAAAAGAGCCATACAATCAATTACCTGAACAAAGGGGCCTCTTGGTGGCCCACCCCAAGCAGCTTTCATGAAATTGATGAAGAGAACTAGGAAGTTTCAGGTCTTTAAACCAGGCTTGATGCAGATTACAGTCGGAAACTTGGGCACATAACAGGAGCAACATAAAGGAAGACAGAGCAGCACATGTTTTCCAAGTGGTCTTTAATTTAAGATTCAATTGCTGTTGTCTAGCCCAAACGCTGAGCCTCCAGACATGCAAAAAAAGCAGACTTGGTTAGGACACATGCTGTCCTTGGGAGTGTGGAGAGCAATCTGCCTCTGCCAAGCCCTCAAGGGACAATCTTCTACTCTCAATCTTTCCGAGAACTGCTTTGATGGTCAGGCTTGGTCCCAGCACCCACTGTATCCTCTGTTCGATTCCTTCCAAACAAGTTGAAGCTCTTGGAGTATTTCTTTAAAGCACAGGAAGATAACCAAGTAAAAATACCAGATACTGCACAACAGGTTGGGTATCTCTTTCACTCATTTTCACTCACTGGATTACTGGAGAAATATTCACTGCTTGCCTAAGTATAGCTGTCTTTCACTTATTGAACAGATTTACCCAAACAATAGGCTGGCAAAATCCTCAACATCCTGTGGAATTTATATGAAGTTAAACACTTGATGTGTTTACCAATCTACAAAAGACAGCCTGTCAAGCCTATCAGCCAGCCAGTAACAGCACTGTTTTGTCAGACATACTTGGCTGATAAGAAGCATGCTAGCATTGACCAACCCTCACATATCTCACCTCTTTGTACCTCAGGTATAAAAGGCTTGTCCAGGACAACACTCTCTTCCATAATGGTTAGCACCAGTTCTTTACTACAAGTGAAGCCAATTGTAAAGGTAAGGGCATACCACAAATGACTAGTACCAACTGCAGACAGGAACTCTTTCACACTTTAGCCTTCAATCCAAAAAGACTTCCATCACTGCAAAGAATTAAGTCTAGTATCTCTGAGAAAGAAAAAAATTCAGCTGAGATGTCAATATTACAATGTTTTCAAACACTTGAAAACATTTACTGACAGCATTTACCATCTCTACTCTTCACAGGTAACAATCCTCATCTCACAGTACAAGTCACCTGTACCACCAGCCTGCTCATTCTCCCAGTACAGCCCCACACTTCTCCAGCAGTTTGGTGTATATATCTTTACAGAAAGGCCAAAAGCTCCCTCCTAGCTCCACTCCCAGTGCCAAGAGATGTCTCCCTAATGCTCTACATAAAGGAATGCTGCTAGCTTTGCAAGGAAGTGGAGATCCACTTGAGTAACAATACTAAAAATGGGCCTTCCCCAGCCAACAGAGCCTCTGCAGTTTCAGCTGTTGCCTACCTAGCTCGGGGAGGGGATCATATACCATAGTTTATCAGTTAATAAAATTTAATAACATGCTTCTTAAAAAAGTCCCTTAAATTCTATTTTCTGGAGCATTCACCCTCACTTCTTGTGTTCAGCAGGCACTGACACAAAGCATGAACATCTATATATACGGTGTGTATAAGTATATCCCCCCACACAGAAAGAGGGCCTGTGGGATTAGCCCAAGGCTAGATGATGGAAAAGGCAGAGGTACAGCCTTTCAAGTTAAAGGCTTTGTTAAGAAAAGTGAATATGGTGACAGCAGCAATACAACAATATTGTCAGATAGCTAACAGCATTCAAGGCAAATAGTGGACTTCACCTTGTCCTCAGCGACACTTCAGATTTTCCTTAGCTCAAACTTCTTCAGAAGTAGTAGAGGGTCATGTAGTTTGTACCCTACTGTTTCACAGTATTAGAGAGAAGTGGCAGAATAAGGGTAGCATGAAACAACAAGGCCACAACTCCACTGGAAAGTTAGTCAAAAATATCATATGTTCACATATATACCCAGAAGATGAGACAGCAAAGTACTAAGATTGATAAATGAAATTTAATAGGCTTCAGAATACCTAAGAAAATAGCAAATTAAAGAGAAATTAGGTACTTTTTAAAAA